GATGCGAAAGCCAAGTCTAATACATTACCATTCTGACCATACGGAGCAACAGTGGTAATAGTGTAGTCATTCAGGCAAACTAGGTTATGTTCATCTGCAAAATTATAAATTATATTACCTCTTCTATCATTAAATCTGGAGCCCCAAGCCGTTTGGTGAGCATTGAAATCTCCGATGATCAAATAATTCCTATTCTTTATGCAAGTAAAAGAATGTGTAAGGATATTTAATTTAAATCTCCCATTAGGAGGAGGAGGTATATATACAGAAAGAATATCAACATAAATAGAACCAACTTTTACAGAGACCAATAAGTTTTGAAAGTGATAGTTGGATGGAGTGTTAATTAATTTATAAATATATTTATCTTTTATAGCCAGTGCCACACCTCCATGGGCGCAATCAGAATCACGACGTATAACCTTGAATCCAGGTAACTTAAATGACTTGGATGAATTCAACCAAGTCTCATTAAGTAAAATTATATCAATATCAGCTGTTTGTGAAGTAATGAAATAGTTAAACTGATTCAGTTTTGGTCCAATGCTACGGCAGTTCCAGTGAATGATATTAAGGTATCCAATTCTAGAATTATTATCCATAAAAGTTATGCTGAAAAGTTTGTAATAAGCAACTCTTTTATGACTTTTGAAGAAATAGCATCTCTGTTTTGCTTTAGTTTTAAATCAACAAGAGTTTTAGTAAGAACATTTAACACTTCATCTGAATTAATTATATCTGTATATAATACTCTTTTTTGGGGAACATTCAATAATTTTAAATTCTTGAGTCTTGGTGGTGAAGCTAGAGGGTCCGATGTTGAACCTGGATCTTCTCTATAGGTAGACTTTACCTTTCCAGCGACCTTTGCATATGTTATCTTCCCACTAATTTTGTCCTTCAACTCTTGGTTTTTGGCACTTTTAACTGGACATAAATTGCTTACTGCCATATGAGGTCCGGAACAGTTACTACATTTAGTATTTTCTTTGTTGTTGCAGTCCTTAAAAAAGTGATTGCCTGAGCAGATAGAGCAGACCTGTGGACTCTTGCAAGAACCACGACCATGTCCAAATTTGTAACAGACGAAACATTGTTTGATTGGTCTAATATATTCCTTCACATCAAACCAAATATGATCATATGTAAGATGATCTGGTCGTATTGAGCTCAAGAATGTAACTAAAACAGTTGGAGTTGGAGAGAAGGAGCCATCACTGTTTTTTCTCATGAAGCGTTTTACTCCTATTACTTCACTGTAATAGATAAATTGGTCAATAAATCTTCCTCTGACAACTCAGTAGGCACTTTTATTACACCCAAGCTCTCCAGGTGGTCATATGGGATCTTTGCTTGCCACTGCTGATTTTGTAGTAAGCTCTTCGAAAGTATGAAGGCATTGGCATCTTTCTTATTACTAAAGAGAGCTTTAATTAGAAAATTGCCGATGGCTTTTACAAAAAGTAAACCTGAGCAAGATTTTAAAATTGAATTTGTTTTCATCAGGTCAAACTTGGTACCGGGTGTTACAGATGAAATCAATATGGGATACTCTTTTTTATTGTCCTCTGTGTACAAATGGACATAATCTTTAAATAAACCCCTTTTATTGTGTATAAAATTTGCCGCCATTTTGAGTGGAGGAGAATCTTCTTCACCTATAAGTTTACGTTTGGCGGCAGAATGCCTGCCGCCACTATCTTCGTTCATCACTTATTAAATTAGAGACTACTAATAATAACTTAAGTACAAAATAATAGAAAAAGGGCTACTTAGAAAGTAATATTTAAATTAGTTAAGGATTTCCCTCACAACAGTTTGAGTGTTCGCGCCCTTTTTCTTGAAACACTTTTTTTTTTTTTGTTGAAGTTCTCCCGTTTTAGGAAAGGCAAAGGGAACAATGCCCATACAGCATGGTCTTTAATTAAATTAATCTTCTTTTTGTTTTTACTTTTTACATTAGAATGTCGGTGTGACGCATTCGAATGTTTCTTGGAGTGTTTGGCACGAAATGTATCAAGTTGGCTTTTTCGATAAGCTTCTGTGAGGTAGTCTACACTACAATAAAATTCTCACGTCCACTTGACCGGAATAGCGTATATTTTAACGATTCCACTAATTCTTCAGTTACGCAGACAGTTGTTACACAAAACCACACCAATTTTATTTCACAATATCCACTATGAACGAATTTAAGAATAATTAAAATAAGACGCCAACCGCACTCGATGAAATCCCGCCCAAAACCAGCTCTTGAAACACAACTGAAACTCGATGACAGCTGATGTACTTTTCTTTTTTTTGTTGAAGTTCTCCCGTTTTAGGGAAGGCAAAGGGAACAATGCCCATACAGCCTAGTCTTTAATTAAATTAATCTTCTTTTTGTTTTTACATTAGGATGTCGGTGTGACGCATTCTAATGTTTCTTGGAGTGTTTGGCACGAAATGTATCGAGTTGGCCTTTTCGATAAGCTTCTGTGAGGTAGTCAACACTACAATAAAATTCTCACGTCCACTTGACTGGAATAGTGTATATTTTAACGATTCCACTAATTCTTCAGTTACGCAGACGGTTGTTACACAAAACCACACCAATTTTATTTCACAATATCCATTATGAACGAATTTAAGAATAATTAAAATAAGACGATAAGACGCCAACCGCACTGGATGAAATCCCGCCAAAAACTCCGCTGATGTACATAAGTTTGGTGCTGCCAGACACATGAATAATGTTAGTTCCTCAAACATTCATGTCACGACTTTAAAGACAAACTGTATCTAATGTCACTGTCACACTGTCACCTGCGGGTCAATTAATGAAAGCTTTTCAAAACATCAGATCGATTCGATGTTTTTCATTGCAAACATCGATGTATATAGGGATGTCGAAAGTTGAAAAAAATATCGATATATCGATACATCGATATTTTAAAAAATATCAATATCGGCTTCGATATATCGCGAAAAAAAATATCGATATATCGATATCGGGCCAATTTTTCCAAAAATATATTTAGGTCAGCCTAGCATAGTAATAATAGTTCAATACAAATTATAATTAAAGAAAGAATTATCAAAGTACCAAATTTGCCGCTACACTACATGACAGTACAGTATCTCACGAAATATGACACGCGGAATAATAATGGAATGAAAATTATCTCCCTAAAAATAGACCCTATTTTCGAATGATGAAAATGCCAATGCCAGGGCCTCTCAGGTGCCATCTTTTGTAAACAAGACTAGACAGTCACACACTTCCACAGAATATAATGGAAATCAGCACAACCAATTCACCAGCGAAACAGATTTACAAATAATAGACAATACTAAATACAGCACAGATCATAGATATGTTGATTATCATTAATCTGAGATCTAGTTACGATTTTTCCAGATACGAATTTAGTTAGATCGTGATATGCCGCTAATAATTAAAAAAATATCGTTTTTGATACGAATTTTGATATTGGTTATTTTGTATCGATATATCGAATCAAAATATATCGGCAAAAAATATCGATATATCGAACAAAAAATATCGATATATCGATACATCGATATATTTTCACAAGCCTAGATGTATATCGAATATCCCTATTTTGGTACAATACAAAGTAAAACAAACAATGAAAATAATGTAATTGTAAAGTTGATAAAGCCATGGGTGAACACAACATATACGGTCACGAAAACTCCAAATCCTCTCCGATTCAGATTAATGAAGATTCTGTGATATTGAACTGCAGCATGTGCAAAAAGAAGTTTAAGAAGGCCAAAACTTTTCAAGCGCATTTGAAAATTCACGAAGAAAATCCTTTTCAATGTCCCGTTTGTGGTCGCTGCTTTATACAAGGCTCGCACTTGCAACGACATATTTCATCACACAAAGTTTGGCCTGATGGTATAAGTGAAACAACAGTCAAGTCTACAGAAGTTGACGTATTAAGTTATTCATGTTTATATTGCGATATGATTTTATCGAATTATAATCAATTTAGATCACACTTAAAGGATCATCAGTCTCTCAAAAAATTTAAATGTGTTCAAGGTCAATGTAATAGTTTCTATGAAACTGTTGAAAGTTTAATTCACCATGTACTAAATGCTCATAAAACTGCATCATACTCATGTCACAACTGTCTCGAAGCTTTTAGCTCATTAGAAAACATAGCTGCTCACTATCAAAGCTATAATAACACCTGCATTGCTACAAGTCCTCAAAGTGAAAAATTTAAGTGTTCATTGTGTGATTCTGTGTTTACCAAAGCTGATAAATTATCATTACATCTACTCACTGAAAGTCACAAAAAAGTGTGTATTCATTGTGATAAAGTATTTGCTAGTAACAAAAGATTAAGATTGCATTTACAGATTCATAGAAATAATAAGCCTTTTCAATGTAACATTTGTAACCAAGGTTTTCATGTGAAAAAATATTTGCTATCTCATATGCTAAAACATGGAGAGCCTAAATATAAATGTGCTGTTTGTAAATCAACATTCAAAAGGCAAGATGTTCTGCACAGACACATGAAGTCACATCAAAGAAGGAAGTTGTATAAATGTCCTTTCAAAGATTCATTGAATTGTAAAAAGGAATTTAGTAGAAGGGACAAGCTTGCATTACATTTGATATATCATGCTAAGATGATGACAAATAAGACTAAAATAAAGAAGTCTAGACCTGGTGCTGGAACTGCCAATGTTAAAGTTATCAAAACAACAATTTGACCTAAGAAATCATTGATAATGCACAGAATGTTTTATAATACATAAATGAAAATATTTTTAATAATAATTTATATGTTTGTCTTTCTGTTTACATTTTGTAAAAACTGACTTTGTATACTGTTTCAAATGAGATACCTGTTATATAAAGTAGTTCATATATTACAGCTAATGTAGGTGCACTTGTGGGTTTTCATTTTTAGAGTAAGTGCTTATTTAATTAGTAGTCCATATGTCAGTAAGGCTAGCTAGGTTACCTGTTAAAGATGGATTATTTAAAATTCCTATTTGTATCTATTGTTTTTATTAATATTTGTGATGTTGATGTGAGTGAAAAATCTGAACAAACGATAGTTAATTTAGTACTTTCATTACCAACTTTTATAGTTAACACTTATGATGATGTAATTTTTTTATCAGGATTTTTTTGTTATGTGGATAAATATAAATGTTTGAGTAATTTTTTTAGGCAAGACAGTTTAGAGTAACTGATCAAGTTTATTTTGATATCGAAAGTGAAGACAAATCACTGGGTCGGATTGTAATTGGTTTATTTGGTGATTTGGCACCCAAAGCTGTTGAGAATTTTAAAGTTTTGGCAACAAAAGGTATTCAAGGAAAGTCATATAAAGGAACATCTTTTAACCGCATCATTAAAAGGTTTATGGTACAAGGTATTAACAAAATTTCCTCCTATATTATAATGATTCTAGATCTATGAATCTAAGATTTTTTTAAAGAAAATATAGTGCTGCATCTTTGTATATCAGTAACATTATGAATTCTTAGTTAATTATATTTTTATTTAAAGCATTAATGTGCTCAATTAATAAATCAAAAGAAAATTTCAAACTTCTTGAGCATCAATCAAGGAAAGAAAAAACTTGCGCAGTAGCAATAGACATTTTTGTATGTATTGTTACTTCCTTGTCCTTGATGCTTACGAAGTTTGCCGGGTTAAACTTGTCTGTGATTTTGCTCAAGAAGTCTTAAGTGAGTAAATTTTTTTCCTCTTAAACGCATACCTAAACATTTGTGTTCTATTTAATTCCTTTAGTTTTTTATTAAGAGCCCTTTCACATTTTTTGCAATAAATCGCAATTTTTGAGCGCCTCGTTTACCCTCTTAGATGAGATTTTGACTATTACCAATAGAAGTAAACAGTAGATTTATTCTTCCTATTGTTAGTTAATGTCAAATATTTGCAAATACTATTTTCCTTTTTTTGTACTGATCATTCTACCGCAGCTAGTTTACGGAAAAAACGATAATATGCACAACTTTAAACGCCTCAATCTCTCAATAATGATCAATAAATTAGATCAAATTAATTACAACAACATCAGAAATATGTTTTTGTTGTAACATAATGTATTTCGATTTTCCATCTCATTAAAACAACATCTAACCAAGAGTGTGTGAGTTTTCCCAAAAAATAACACAGATTTACCTCATATTTTGATATTGAATTAATAGAATTACTATCAAAAACTTTCATAAAATTAATCTACAATCATTGAACTACTGAAATATGTATATATTTTTATAATTAGTTCATTAATAAATATTTTATAAGACTTGGAACATTACCCGTAAAATGCAATATATACTAAAGTCTGTTTCTAAAGCAGGCGGAAAAAAGGGCATTGGCCCGAAGTATTATGTTACTGTCGACAGAAAACGATACGTATCGCTCGTCATATAATTCTGTGTCGCTCAAGCATCGTACCGTGTTTCGTAGTACGGGGTGAGTTGAGCGACGCGGTCGTTCAGAGTTTAAAGCCCGTCACAGACGTAGCTATAATATATATTAATATGAATCATAGCAAGACATATTACAACATATTTTCAATATAAATTTTCGAGTGACCGCACACGCAGCTATAATATATATTTCTATCACGTCACCAAAATATGTCGACAGATATATTTTGGCATATTAGTGTATATTTTGGTATATTAATATATATTTTGATATATTAATATATATTTTGATATATTTTTATGATACGGTATGTTTCATTTTTCACCGAACGCCTGCCAAAATATATATTATAGCCGTGCCCAGCGGTTTCACCCGCGTTTTTCTCGTTTCCGTGGAAATACTGAGATAAAATATGCAAGCAAGCGCGCGTGGATTTCCTTAGCAGAGTTATTTTAGAAATGTATTTATTATACTCTTCAAAGATCTTATACTTACAATCATCAACAAATATATTTCGAAAAAGATTATTACAGGATTTTATGTTAATAAAAAACTCTATGGCCCATAACTCATTAATAGGTATCAACTCTTAACATCTTACACACGTGATAACTTTTAAACGAAATATCCGATTGAGATGAAACAAAAAGTATTTTACTTCTACATAAATACTCTTGATAACATAATGCTTAATTTCGATAAATATTAATATTACGATACATATTTAACGTAGTTTTTTTTTCTTCTGACGATGTAATAATTATTTTGAACACAAAATCGGTTATTGTGATTAAACCATGATAGCTAGATATATGTTCTCGCAGACTTTTTTGTAGGTCTTAATGGGACCCGTAGTACATCATTTTGTTCTATTGTCAATAGTTTTTGCAGCGCACGCAAAAATAGGTTTTCGATTTTACACCTTGTGTTACAAAATAGCTATTTTATTGCGGATCCCTAATTTTGAAAAAATAATATAGCCTATAGCCTTCCTCGATAAATGCAATACCCAACACTGAAAGACTCATTCAAATCGGACCAGTAGTTCCAGAGATTAGCGCGTTCAAACAAACAAACAAACTCTGCAGCTTTTTAATATTAGTATAGAAGTATAGATAGTACAGCTCCCGTCTGTGGTAGTTTGTATAATATAATATGTCGATATATAAATAAATATAGCTACGTCTGTGACGGGATATATTTTGGCATATTAGTATAATACGGAATGTTCAACTTCTATTTTTCGTTCCTGACAAGGCAACATGCATATCAAATTCAGCATCGGAATCATCCTCTGAGGAACTTTCAATTAAATCTAAAAGTAGTGCTCTTGTCGAATTCATTTCGGTAAGATCGATTATAACGTTATTTCAAAATTAAAACACCTGTGCTAGAAAATAAACTTTAAAACCGTGCGCTTGCAAAAACGACCGCAGACCGAGTGAGGGCAAAATATATATTATAGTATAGCTCCCGTCTGTGGTAGTTAGCTATAATATAATATATATTTCGATATATTAATATATATTATAGCTACGTCTGTGACGGGCTTAAAAACCTGTTTGGGATTTGCGTGGACGCGGGTTGTGGAGGGAGCGAAGCAACACGCATTCCGCCTGTGCATTCCGCCTGTGCATTCCGCTTTGGAATGCGCTCGCTTGTGGTTGGTTTTGTTTATCGTTCCTTTAATTTCGATCATTTGTTATTAATTTTGTTATTGTTAATTTAGTTTGTTAGGTTTTGTGTTAAGTTTGTTAATTTTGTTTGTTACGATTTGTGTAGCTTAACCTACCACCATTTGTGATTAAAAATAAAAAATAAAACTTAAAATAAAACTTATTTTAATGCGTTAAAAAGAATTAAAATAACATAACTGCACTTCTTTTTTAAAACAGAAAATATAATTTTTATTTAATATTTTTTCTCAAAAAAAATATACTAGAAAAAATAAAAACAGGTGGGAATCAAACACGCGCCTTGCGCAATCCGGGCGGCTGTGCTAACCACTACGCTAACGAGCACCTCATCTAAAATTGGCAGATTAATGCTAAAAATTAAAAATAATATAAATATTATTATTAAAATTAAAAATAATATAAATATTATATTATTTTTAATTATACAATTTATCAATAAAAGAAAAAAAGAAAAAATGAATAAAAGAATGATGCAGCCATAAGGAATAAAAAAAAAAGTTGAACAAACAGAAGTTATGCAAATATACACCAAGTTACAATAATTAGTAATAATCATAATTAATTTTAATTGTCCTTCCAAAACACAACCAATGGGTACGATAAATATCTTATTTATTTTCTCACAATAATAAAAAAACTTTATCCTTGTATCCTTTGCTCCACTCAGGATTCCTAACTAGAATCCTTCGTTGCTACAGTAGCGATCCATCTTAGCACCTCAAATTAAATTTCTTTTTATATTTGCACTTAAAGTATAATCCACTAATTGCATATTAAAGTATCAATTCGGTAAAGCGCACTATACCGAACATCGCTGCGTTGATGTTTCGCTCGTGCGACTCTCACAGACTCGTGGCCGTATTTACCTAAACTGCTGCGGTGCAATTTTGTAAAAGGGCTCTTAAGATACTTTTATTATTCAAAATTTATACTTCTTTGACCACATACATTTTTTTAGGAGGAGATGTGGTATCTGATGACGGTTTGGGGTCCATAAGTATCTATGGAGAAACATTTCCAGACGAAAACTTAGATACTGAGCATAGTGTTGCAGGCTTTGTTTCCATGGCTAATAAAGGTATAATTGAAATGTTGGTCATCTAAAATATGTGTACTTAAATTTCACAGCTCTTATAATTGTAAATCAATTTTATTTACAGGTAAAAATACAAATGGATGTCAGTTCATAATAACTACAACAGGTACTCCATGGTTGGATAATCTACATACAGTTATAGGAAAGGTTGGTTGTATTTATTAGCCGAAAATATTTAAATGATCCTCAAAAAAATTTATATTTATCAACAAAAATAGACAAGTGGTCGCTGGTAAAAGTTAGGTTACTCTCAAAAAATACAATTGGTATAATATTGGTATTTTTAGGTGATCATATATTAATTTTTGAGGATCATTTAAATATGCTTCTTATAATAGCAAATGATCTTCATAAAATACTATTTGTAATTATATCTCTATCTCTTTTACGTGTATAGACATATATCTCCATCTCTTTTATGTGTACATATATCGAAGTCTCTTATTACGCTGGATCCAGCAGGACGGAAAGAGCGTAAAGGACTTAATATTTACTCACCCATCATCTGTCTGACTGTCACTTAAAGTTGCATTATTTCCAGCAAAAAATCAGATGAACCCTCTTACCATATTGTTAGCACCACCAAGTTTCATATAACTTCATAAAATTATTGAATATGATTTTTTCACAAATATTGCAGGTAATTGATGGTCAGAATATAGTACATTTAGTGGAGCACACACCCACAGATGTGGAGGATCGGCCTACAAAACGTGTTTATATATCTGACAGTGGAATAATATCAACACCCCAACCTTTTTATATATCAGATGATCCATATGAGTGAGTAGAAGTGAAATAATATTAATAGGTGTGCAATGAAAACTCTATACTCCTTTATACTTTCATTCGGATCCTAGACCCCTGTATTTGCATGCTTTGGCTTTTTCAGCCGCTTCACAAGCCGCACCAGCTCTGTTGTTGGTTCCATGTAGATGGGAAGGGGCCAGCGTGTTAATCAAATGTAGCAATACTTCATACTGAAATATAATTTTAAACATGAAAGGTGTAAATGAAAAATAAAGAATTCATCAGTTGTTAAATTTCATAAGCAGATAGTAGAAGTCTTATCTTTATGGATGTGAATTGTGATAGTAACTTATCATTATTGTTAACAACATAATGAGCATTAGCCGATGGACGCCTACTGATGGACTCCTTTAGGGAACTTCGCGCAACAGTCCCCCCTCCGATTCGGTTGATGGCGTCAGTCCACCTGGTGATCTACAGATAATGCGCATTCTAATCGCCAAGGTATCTCAAACGTCCATTAGTACTGTATGGCCCCCCGGCCATCCTGCCATTACCACTGCAGTAGTGTTGCCGATCGATAGTCGACTATCGAGGAATAATCGATAGTCTATCGATAGCCGACCAATCGTATGACAATCGATCGGCTTATCGATAGTATCGATAGCACAGAACAAGCCAATACTATCGGATGAGTGAAATACTATCGATACTATCGATAGTATTGTAGGTCGGTAATAACAAACTATCGATAGTATCGATACTGTCGATTTTATTTGCAACTATACTATCGATAGTTTAACAATTTGCAATAGTATTGTTTACAATTTTCAGGTATTATAGTCAATCACAATCAACTATTAGAATTAGCACAGCTCGATAGAAATGTTTATATATATATATATATATATATATATATATATATATATATATATATATATATATATATATATATCGGCCTCTAATAGTCCTCAACTACAATACTGTTAAAACATACCTAATACTATTGCAAATTGGTAGACTATCGATAGTATTGTTGCAGATAAAATCAATGGTATCGATAGTATCGATACTATTGCACTCATTCGATAGTATTGCCTTGTTCTGTGCTATCGATAGTTTTGATACTATCGATTGTATCGATTCTATCGATAGGCCTATCGATAGGGTACATGATTTTCGATGTAAACTATCGATAGTTTTCATATCGATAGTTCGGCAACACTACACTGCAGCTTTTCGAGCCATGTCAGTTCTACTAGCATAGCTTTTTATTCTTTTATTATCACGTAGAGAAACACGCGTAGTTTTTTATTTATTCTATTGCTTGCTGACCGACTCTGATGGACCGGCATGATTCTCTAAACCTAAACTTAAATTTGACAACAGTGTATTCCTGTCATTCTCTATATAGAATGAAAAGGAGAAACTGATATTAAATTTAGTTTTAAGTTTAGAGAACCCTTCCAGAATCAACACCTCTGTCTTATTTAGATTGTGATCGTTATGCTTACTGGTTCGATCTAGCTTGATATACCCGCAAACTTCTTGAGCAACGATCATAGACAAAGAAGTCTGCGCAGTAACAATTTAACACACAAAAACGTCTATTGCGCTTTTTCTGAAGAAACTTCCCGCTACCTACACTAGGACGTAAGGGTACGGCCAGAGTGCACTCAGATTCAGATTCCGAAAACAAGCGCGAGAAATAAACAGTGTAGTTAAAGCAGGGTGGCCATAGTGGCCGCAGGCAGCCTGCTTAAACTAAACTGTATATTTCTCGCGCTTGTTTTCTGAGTCTGAATCTGAATCTGAGTGCACTCTGGCCGTACCCTAAAGGTGCGGCCAGAGTGCACTCAGATTCAGATTCAGATTTCGAAAACAAGCGCGAGAAATAAACAGTGTAGTCGAAGGGTGCGGCCAGAGTGCACTCAGATTCAGATTCAGACTCAGAAAACAAGCGCGAGAAATAAACAGTGTAGTTAAAGCAGGGTGGCCATAGTGGCAGCGGGCTCGCGCAGGTTTCGGAGTCAGACGCTTTACCGGAATGTTTAGGTCATTCAGATTCTGAATTCACCAGCGCCGCTCGGACTGCAGGTAGGGTTGCCAACCCTTATATAAAATATAGTATCCTCCTATAATAGGGGATCAAATACTATATACTATATTTCTATCTATATTTCTAAAAAATACGTAGTAGGCGAAATTACTAAATTTTGCTTAAAGCATATTTTTAACAGTAAAAGCTTTCTTAAAAAATATTAGAGATTGTTATTATAATATTAGTAAGGCAACAAAAATATATTTATTTCAAAAATAAAGTAAATATTATAACCACATACTGGTGTCGATTCTGGCACGATTCTTTAAATCTAAACTTAAATTTGACAACAGTGCATCCTTTCCATTCTCTATACAGAATGAAAAGGAGAGACTGATGTTAATTCTTCATCATGTGAGGTTAATTTTTTTTTAAATGTAGTAGTTAAAACGTTTTCACTTCCATCTTAAAATATTGGAAGAAACGTTTCCTATTGACTTTTAATTAGGGAAACAAATGATGGTATTCCCCATATTCACCGATCGATCTTCATTAGAAAACTCCTCCAAGTTTACAACTGCGAAAACACCCCCCAATTTAAGTTTCTGGATCAACAACTTCGAACGCGTCGAATGAGAAAGAGAGATTGTTGAATGACTGTCGATTGCGACTTTTTACAGATTAAAAGTTTATGATGTGATTTTATTTTTATATAAAAATGTAAAAAAGAAAACTCCCGTTTCCCCCAAAACAAAATTTCTTCCCCCGATAATCCCCCCATCGATCGCTTTAAAAAACCCCCAAATTTGGAGTAACCTCCCCCAACCTGGCAACAGTGCTCGCGTCCGCGTCTTGTATTATCTGCCTCCACTGTGGCCATCACCTGCTTTCCTCAAGCTGACATCTCACGAGCCTGCTTTCTGAGTCTGAATCTGAATCTGAATCTGAGTGCACTCTGGCCGTACCCGAAGGGTACGGCCAGATTGCACTCCTGATTCAGATTCAGATTCAGACTCAGAAAACAAAGCGCGAGAAAAAGCAGGCAACCTGCTTAGACTACACTGTTTATTTCACTGAATCTGACTCTGAATCTGAGTGCACTCTTGCCGCACCTTAAAACAGTATTTAGTAAAATTCTACAGACTTAAACAAAATGTTTTCTTTTTCAGTCTATGGGCTTGGATTAGAGCCTCTGCAGTACCACTGACCATGTCCTTTTCCATTTTAGGATTCTTCCATTGGATGATGAGAAAAATGGAAATATAATAATTCAGTGTATGTATTTAAAAATCTTTTTAATTTTGAAACTGCATTGCATGAATTCTTGTCAAATAAGTTTTTAACTTTATTTATAATACTGGTGCTGATTCTGGCATGATTCTCTAAACTTAAAAATAAATTTAAGATCAGTCCCTCCTTTTCATTCTGTATAGAGAATGACAAAGATAGACTGTTGTCAAATTTAAGTTTAGGTTTAGATAATCGTTCCAGAATCGAGACCACTGTAGTGTTAAGCGAAAATTTGTAGAGGTACTTATACTATATTGTGTTATTGATATTTATAAAATATTATAACTTAATTATGAATGAGTTAATTGAATAGAAATTTTAAATAAATTTATACTGTTTTGATTGGTTTTAATCTTTTATTATTAATAACTTAGTACTTAACTATAAGTTAACACCTTATCTATTTACACTAAACAATCATTTTCTTATTAAAATTACACAGACTTTGATTAGGTATGGTTATCGCTTAATACATATTTCTTAAATTCTATTCAAAACCATTGATTTCATAAATCGAAGAACGAATAGTTACCACAAAAAAAACTGAATTTGATTCTAAATTTATTACTAGTTACAATTGTAACTTTATGATTTCAGTCGGTATTTTTACTAAACATCTTTATAAAACTTATAATAAAAACGCTTATAAGCCGTTGCATAACCAAAACAAGCGCGGTAATGTGTGCCAATTCATTTTCTTGTGAGCGTAAGTTGACTGTATCTACGCACACAAATAGATGATTTTACTGTTACCATTACTAGTCGCAAGCCCACAAAATGGGGAAACGTGATGGTTTCTTATGCGATACCAAAGTATTTGGCCGGATGAAAATTATCATGTTTATTTAAATTATTATAAACTATAACGAGAGTAAAATTACAAGGACAAAAAATTTACTTTTATAAACCATTAATTAATGAATAAATTATCTTTTATGGAGCTTGTGATACCAATATATTAGTTCAAAATAGTGATATGCGGAAAAGTATACAAAATGAGTATTGTATTTACCTATGAATCAATTAAAATTATCTGAGCATTTTTTTTCTCACAACTAGCAACATTGTATTGTAAAAAGTTGCGTGTATTAATAATTGATTTTAGTCGATATTACGTACATGAAGTATACTATCTCACTTTAGTTTTCAAATGTGTAAGAACTATTCTTAAACAGTAAAAACTATCATTTTCAGTTTTCTCAGTGCTCGCGGGGCTAACTAAGCAAGATGGCGCACTTTGAGTTGCGCCTTTTTCATGCGGGTACTAGGCTTCTAGGCGTTATTATTCTAAGTCAGCAAGATAACTTTATTATGTGTCAAAAGTGGAATGTGTATGAGAATACTTCAACAATAAATTTAAGTATGGGCAAAGTATTTCAGTGGCTTTTTGGTCCATGAAATTAGTAATAGATAATATGGATAACTATTGATCGGTATGATTAGCCGGTGATTCAAAATCAGTGGCAGCTGTGAAGTTAGCGCAAGTTGCGGTGCAGTAAGTCACGAGTGAAACAAATGAAAAAATGAATGTGTCAATGTTACCACGGATCAGAAATAGAATTCGATTAGATACTTTCAGATACATAGTTATAAGTTTTGACGGTCCCTAGTTGAAAATAAATGTTTAATTAAGCAAAAACTTTTACACACTTTTGAAGCTGACTTATTAACCAAATATTTCGTGTGTTTTGAAAGTATATTATATATTGCTCAACCTAACATGTATTTTTGCTACAGACAGTTAGTTGAAATTTATAACAGTAAGTGGGCCTATAGATGTACCGAAAGTGTATGCTTAACGTTTATTCACAGTCGCCCCCGCGGGGATTGCCACCGGAGGCAAATGGATATGAATTCATTGCCCCTACTTCAGTTTTTTTAATCCCATTTGCCGCCTTTGGCAATTGGCTATTTGACAGTATGAAACATAATGTACCATTTTTTGGCATCTGTATTTAATATTATGAATTTAAGCAGCGATTTTACTATTCTGAATAAATAAATAATTAATAACTTTTCTATAAAACTTTTAAATAACATTTTTTTTCTCCATGGTCACGTGACCGAAAACGCCTGGGATTGGCCAAGACTAAAATGACGTCACAAACTAGTAGACTTCCGGCCAAAGCGACATTACATTGTATCGTTTGAAGTTGTGATCGTTCTGTTCGTCACAGTCGTGTGACGTCACACATTATTGAGATGCCATAATGTCCAGAGAAACGTATAGCGGCAACGAGAAAGTTAATTTTTTAATTTTGTGTTATTTTACTGAATTACACAACAGAATAAAAATATGACGTGAGATCGTTCTCTAAAACTTTTCAAATACCCTATTCCCGCGGGGGCGGCTGGGAATATTAGATATTTAATTACTGGTGGCTCACGCTAAAGTACGTGACCGCTAGTGACGTGAGTGCTAACAGTAATACAGATGGCATTGTAAGGTAGGCCGCGTCCGGTTCGTTGTTGGACGGGTTATTGGACGGAAGTTGCGCACTGGCCGAGCCGCATGCGCGCGCGCATGACTCCCACACGCGGCAAATGTCACACGGTGTACTCTGCAACGGGTGGAAGAATACCCGTGCTCGATGACCTGCGATAATTAATAAATAATAATTATACTTAGCACATTACTGCAGCAGCCAGCAAAAGATCAGGCATGGATGCACGGATGTATAATAATAAAACGAACGTGTGAACTTATTATGTCAAAATACAGTTACCCACTTTTCAAAATCAATGACGAACAACTAACAACTACACGCATTCATTTATTTTTATATTATTGATAAATAGCTTTCTATTTGCACGTCGGTTCGGAATTAAAAAAAAAATCCTTGTTTGCCATGTTTTAGCGTAAAAGATCGTTCCATTTTTAAATTAAATAACAGATATCACTTTACTATGTAATTTATTTGGCCGCTAAACACGACCGATATGAATTTTCATACATACATTGCCGGCCGGTGCTCGCATATATGTGGCCAGTACAGCAATTTCTCAAACAAGGCTGTCAAAATAATGCTCAAATTTAAAAGCATGTTTGAGATAATAAATATTTGTCACACTCGCTACTTTTTTTAAAGATTAAATTGATGTACTCACACCAATTTGCCTAGCCCCAAAATAAACCCCGTAAGGCTTGTGTTATTAGAGACTAGGGTAAAGGATAGCATACATAAACATATGTTTTATCTAGAAATATATGCAAACGTCCATGGCTAAGGCACAAATGCTTGTATTCATCATACTAACGTTGCCCCCACCGGGATTCGAACCCGGGATCTCAGAGTAGGCGACACCTTAAAATATACCACTCGGCTACAGGGGGTCATCACGGGGCGATGTATAATAGTCGATGCTGAAATATTTATTAGAGATTGTGTATTTTGCTGAAAAAATATATTTGAAATTTAATCTTTTTAGAAGTAATCTATGTCCGGCTCGAAGGACCAAAAATGATTGCCAAATATTCAGAATGGGTCCTACAGCGTGGCCCAGCCGGGCCGCTGTCAGGTAGTGGGGAGAGTGTGCAGGGCCGTTAGTGTGGCGCAGTGTTCAGCTATGTACAGTACAGCTGTATGGACAGTGATGTGTGTGTTTACTGACTGGAGTCATATAGATCCTGCAGCGTGTCCCAGCCGGGTCGCTGTTGGGCGGTAGGGAGAGCGCGCGGGGCTATTAGTGTGGTGCAGTGTTCAGCTCGTATGTACAGTACGGAGCTGGCTGTATAAAGAGTGATGCGCGTGCGTGTGTGTGTGTGTACTGAAGGAGTCGTATTAGGTCCTGCAGCCTACCCCAAGCGGGTCGTTGCCGGGTGGTGGGGAGAGCGCGCAGGGCCGCTAGTGTGGCGCAGAGTTCAGCTCGTATGGACAGTACGGAGCTGGCTGTATAGACAGTGATGTGTGAGTGTGTGTACTAACTGGAGTCGTATAGGTCCTGCAGCGTGGCCCAGCCGGGTCGCTGTCGGGCGGTGGGGAGAGCGCGCGGGGCCGCTAATGTGGCGCAGCGTTCAGCTCGCCGCGGTCGCAGCCACGCCACTACGCGTGCTCCGTCTGCTATCACGCGCGCCGAACGCACCATGCGCGCGGACTGTATCGACAGATAGATAAAATAAATAAATAAATATTTCTCACACGCACACCAATCAGCCTAGCCCTAAAAACAACATACGTGTTATGGGATACTAGGGTATAACGGATAAAATACATACACTTATAGGGTTTTTTTTAAATAGATAATAGCAGTCATGACTTAGGTACAAATGCTCATATTGCGTGTGATACACAAACATTTTCCTCACCGGAATTCAAATCCAGGACCTCGTTAGTAGGCGACACCTTGATAACCGGCGTATATACCACTCGATCCACGGAGGTCTTCAAAGATGTTAAACATATGAGGGGCATTGCTATTATTGTCAATCTATGATGTTTTAAATTTATAGATACTTCATACACGCTTCTAATTTGGCAATACGAGTCAGGTAATTTCTCGACTTTCATTCAGACGGGTACGCTCTTTCGCCGCGATACGGCTTCATATCGCTGCAATGTGTAAGTTTTTCCTGACAAAAAGCCCTATGTTTGTTTTTAGATAGTACACAAGAACTATATATGAGATAGTTTTGAAAAAAATATTTAGTGATTACTTATTTTGACAGTTGCTGACACCGTTGACACGTGGAGGCTAAAGTGCGAGATGTAATCTGCTTAATGCATGAAAGTGAAAGACACTACTTTAGTGCGCTCTATTGGAGGCTGTTGCCAAGGGAAGTTGGGGCGGGGACTACTTGTACCATTTTAAAATGCAATCATGTTCGTGTATAACCTGTCTATATATTTTACGTCATTGGTTGAAACATAGAGGCTAAAGAGCGAGATGTATTGTGCTTTCTGAATGAGAGTGAAAGAGACTACCTACTTTATTGCATTCCATTGGCGGCTGTTGCCAAGGGAAGTTGGGGCGGGGACTACTGTGCCATTTTATGCATTAATGTTGGCTATTTGTAAACATTACATCAATCTGTCCTTTTCATTCCTTGTAGAGCATGATAAGGATAGATTGATTTCAAGTTTACAAATAGCAAACACGAATAACCCAGTGAAGTGCCGGCATGAATAGCTTCTTTTCAACTGCGGCAATATGCAATCTGATTATTAGGAATCCACTTTCCTATCTAACCCCATGGCCCAACTTCTATACTATATATATATCTTTCTGTCTAGCCTCATATAAAATGCTTATTTTTACCCGGCTGCGCAATGCAAGAGTGCGAAGCGCGACGCGCAGACAGGGTTATGTGTTTAACAGTCTATATACGTATGTTTGTTCCTTTGTGGCTCACTAGAGACCAAACGCCTGGGCCGATTTTGATGATTCATACATCAATCGATTCGTCTCAATCATGGGAGTGCTACTAAATATATGATAGTAATCAAAATTCAATATGGCCAAAACTAGGCGCCATATTGTGACGAAGTAAAAAAAATAAGTTGACAAAATATGTTGAGTGGGGTATCACTGTCTAGATAATCAAAAATCATATTTAGGTTCCTAACACCATTTTTCATTTAATATGATTGTTTAGGATCTACAACGCTTTAAAGTTGTATATTAACCACTTACGCTTTTAATTTCAATCTTACATTTGTATGGATCTTTGTTACTCTTTCACCTAAAAAATACTGAATGGATTTTAATGAAACTTAACAGTAATATAGCTCATATATGAAAATTACATATATATAATAATTTATGTAGTTATTGAGTGAATTGGCCAATATATAACAATAAGTGTCACATAAGACGGAAAAAAATCTCCCATATGCGAGCCATTTTGGCCTGCACTGCGAAAACAATAAAAGTTACATGAATGTAATGTAGAGTGAAAATGTATCTCTTAAATAGTTCTAAAAGAAAGTCCGTGACACCAAATATCAATTTTTAATGTGTAAGTCATTACCGAAAAATAGTGAATCAAAACTAAAATATTATTTGATATCTATTTCCAAAATGCACATTTTGTATTAACAAATCATTTTTTATCAAAACAAATACTTTTATCGCTTTTGATATTTAAAGACGATAAAATTTGCTTTTTACTATTTACTATGTCATTTCGACAAATATTTAAAAAGTTACAACGATGACAAAGTGATACCGCGGTGTACTATGTAAAAAAAAGGGCTATTCGCAGTATCTGATCCTATACGAAGCACTAACAATAAAACTGTGATACAGTTCCTTCTTATTATATGATGAAAAATATATTATCATAATAGGTATTTATGATTATTGAATTTTAATGAAAAACTCTGAATTTTACGGTTTTTCATTTTTTTATTTAACGATATTACTTAATGTTACAAAAAAGGTTTACTTAATATAATGACAAATAAACCTCTGTAAAGTTAGCCCCCCACTTTTTGAATTTTATTATTATCTAGGTTGTTCTGGGTTGTTCTATGTTTGTTCTACATTGTTCCAAAGTATTATTTGAAAAAACTAAAATTTGAAGCTGCCAGACAAGAAAAACCGTTTTTCTATGGTAGCCCCCCATGTTTGGAAATTCAATATTTTTTTAGTTGTTCTAGTTGTTCCGAACATTGTTCCAAAGTATTATTTCAAAAAACTCAAATTTGAAGCTGCCAGACAAAAAAAACTTTTTTATGGTAGCCCCCCATGTTGGGAAATTCAATATTTTTTTAGTTGTTCCAAGTTGTTCTAGTTGTTCCTAACATTGTTCCAAAGTATTATTTGAAAATATTCAAATTTGAAGCTGCCAGACAAAAAAACGCTTTTATGGTAGCCCCCCATGTTTAGAAATTCAATACTTTTTTAGTTGTTCCAAGTTGTTCTAGTTGTTCCCAACATTGTTCCAAAGTATTATTTGAAAAAAACTCAAATTTGAAGTTGTCAGGCAAAAAAAACCGTTTTTCAGATAGCCCCCCATGTTTGGAAATTCATTATTTTTTTAGTTGTTCCAAGTTGTTCTAGTTGTTCCTAAAATTGTTCCAAAGTATTATTTGAAAAAAATAAAATTTGAAGCTGTAAGACAAAAAAAAACTTTTATTTATAATAATAAAATCAATCGTACCTACCAGAGACAATAAATATATCAAAAATCAATTTAAACAACGACGATTGTACAACATCAGTACAACCGTGGGCTATATCGTTCCAATTTCATTGAATCATTTTGAATTAAATTAATAGAAAAGAAAACATTAGAATATAGGGTAAACTCCCTAATTGTTGGCACTTTAAGAGTATGTAGCATGTCAGACATTAAATTACCATAAAATCACATCTAAATGAGTTAGTACACAACACATGTTACACATGTAACAGTATCAAAGAAAGTAGTTTAATCTTTGTTTTCATAATGGTATAGTCCAGCTATACTCTAAGTGTGTTCCGCGGAACCCTAGGGTTCCGTGATACCTCTGTCGGGGTTCCGCAAGAATTTAGAAATAAAAAAATCAAAACACCTCTCTCTGGTCGCTCCGCGGCTGTGCGGACTCCGCGGCCGCGCGGAGACAAAACGCTATGAATGTTATTTATTTATTTATTTGTATTTGTATAAGCTTGTGTTACATTAGCTGGTACAATATCTCATAAGTTTGGTCTCAACAATTTTATACTTGTACAACGCGTTCGCTCTAAGTTTGCCGGTCTGTGGAATGCGCGTACCCTCCCCCACGTGACAACAAAACTTATAATGTGTCATAGTTTTACCCAAATATCTAACGTACACAATTTTTATTGTTACAATTAAATAAAAAATTTCGAACGTCATACACTCATACCTATCGCCAGCGGCAAACTTAAAACGAGCGGGTAGGTATACTTGTAAGCGCTCAGTCTCTTTGATAAAAGCCGCCTCTGAATTAGACGCTATAGTTGTCAACTAGCGACTTTCGTCTCTAACTTCAAAGGATAAAGTCGATATTGTTTACAACGCTATTTTTAAATTTCTGTTTTTATTTTTGCTTTTTGTTTATCAAAGGTGCCGACTCGAGTATTTTCGAGAATATTTGAGATCGAGTCTAGGACTAAGTATAAAAGCGGCGATCGCGCGTTGGCGTCGTCAGTTGATGATTAGCGTTCGGAGCGATAAGTTACTACCTACTTACAAGCTCGCTAGCGAGAAACTGGTGTTCATTGTTTTACTGCCTGCTGTATTCTGTTGTCTCAGTTTTATACATTTCTTCCCTGTAGGTTCTAAATTTAGTCTCTTATACGCAGTAACGATTGTGCATTATTTAAACCCCACTATCCTGACTTGTAACATTATAAATAAAGAAGAATGGAACGTTGGCTTAAAGGTGTTAAACGTGTTCCAACAACATCTTCTAATGACGCTGAATGTTCAAAAGCAATGCGCGCGGAGAATTTAGCAATCACCGATCCAGAAGATGATGCCACGAGTGCCACGACGTCAAGCTCGACGGTTTCAAAGACGAAAAAAAGGAAGTATGATGAATCTTATATCAGTTTCGGATTTGTTGATTCCAACGGCTCACCTCTCTGCATGCTCTGTAGTAAACTGCTTCCTAATAGTTCCATGGCACCTGCCAAATTGCGTCGACATTTAGAAACCGTACACCCCGAGACTAAAGACAAGAATAAAGAATTTTTTGTTCGCAAAAAAGATCAGTTATTAGAAAGTCAAAAAAATATGATGCATGTAACACAAACTACCAACGAAAAGGCCACGGAGGCATCATACTTAGTTAGCTATCGCATTGCACAAGCAGGTGAAGCGCACACTATCGCTGAGAAATTAATAAAACCATGTGTATTAGACATAACAAAATGTATGCTTGATGAAAAATCTGCAAAGCATCTTTCTACTGTTCCGCTATCAAACGATACTGTTTCACGACGAATCCATGATCTGGCAAGCTACGTCAAACAAGAACTAGTTACACGTCTACAAAATACACGATTCGCTTTGCAAATGGACGAGTCGACTGATGTCGCTGGTTTGGCTATCCTGCTGGTTATTGTGAGATATCCATATAAAAGTTCTTTTGAAGAAGACATGCTTATGTGTTCATCGCTGCTTACAAACACTACCGGGGAAG